ATACATAAGTGTATATAGCTATTAAAACAAACGTTCGGATATTTATAAGGAAACAAGTGAAGTACTCAGCCAGAAACTCTTTTCAACAGCTCGAACACTCCCAACAGAAGTTTATTATTAATGAAAAGCAGCAGAGAACAGACCCTCTTCTGGCAAAGAGAGAGCTATTTTTCGCTTCCCTTGGTCACTATCTTTAGTGCCTTACATTCTCGGAAACCAGGAATGTGAATATGGATTTACTGCGAAGCGACACGCAATTATCCAACGCCAGTTAGGGGGGTGGAGAAGCCTGTGAAATCAATGCCGAGGAGACACTGAAGCATGACAGGCATCAATATAGGCATTGAGGTCTGGTGACAAAGGCCTCATGGTCCCTGGAACGTCCACGGCCTGGGCATTCCCGACCACGGCCGGGGACCTATTTACATCTCAGGACAGAAAAGAATAGATAGAAAACGGAAACACCCGGGTTCCCACACAGAAGATAATCAAAGCGCCTAACCCAGGGCGGCCTCGGCGGGACACGGGGTATTTATCTGAAATTAATTACTCCATTCTCAGGCAAATCTGCGCTAACCGAGAAGGAATATTTTGGATGGGAGTCTCCGCAGAAGCACAGGGCAGACTACAGTCGGTGTGAGAGGGGTAAGTGTCATGTATGTCAGGATGACAAGCAAGCTCAGGCTAACTTCAATGACCATGGTAGCGGGCTGGGTGGTGACCGGCGTGACTGGAAGTGGCCGTGGGTGTTTGCCCACGTGGGCAGAAAGTCAGCCAGCAACACGCACAAGGTAAAGAATACTGCCCCAGCGAACCGAACCCTCTCCACTGCTGAATAGCCCACCTTTACCTACATCCCTCTGCTGAAGGAGAAATCATTCTTCAGAGCTTCTGGAGGATTGGGCTGAATTGGAGGGAGCATAGGGTATTCCTGGCCCCTTGTCCAACCAGGACTGGCTGACTTTATTTTTGAGCCATGTATGAAGACACAGTTTGCTGAAAAGCTAGCAGAGCAAAATGTGTGCGCATGGCATCTTGAGTCCCTGTGGGGGTGACTGTATCCGCCACACTGCGGTGACCGTGTGCCACGCCAGGCGGGCCTGCTCTCTCTCCTTCACGTCCCCTCTGGAACCCGAGTGTCTAGCACCGTGCCTGCCAGGTACACGGCACACACTTCGCTGGCATCCCCTAAAGGAATGGAGCACTGCTCAAGGAATGAAACGCCCACCCTTTAAGAGTCTGCTTCACCCTGACTGTTGATGTCGAGGTGGTGTTTCTGATTTGCACCCTGAAAGGAGTCCAACAAACCAGTACTTAATAACGCTTTCTTCGTGGCCCGTTCCAAGTGCCTACAGAGCTCGAGCTACATAAACTTTTTCCCAGGGAGACAAACCTCTTTCCTTGCCGTCTGAGTGTGTGCGCTTTTATGACAGCCCTCATTCTCTGAAGGGGTGGAGTCTTATCACCGCTCCCATGACTCAGATGCTATTAATCAGGACGGCGCACAGTGAGTCTGATACTAAAGGACCCACTCTGGACAGCTGGGTCTTTGTGGTCTTCCCGGAGCTGGGTTTGACTCATGTCAGTCCTGAGTGACTGTATTTATTCTTCATGATTCCTCAGGTTCATGATTTACATTTATATTATGTTAGTCTTTAGGAGGTAGGAATAAGAAACCCAAAGAGGCACACTGGAAACCACAGACATGGTTCCTTGGATTACCTCATGGTCCCAGGATGCGCTGCTGGCTAGCATACAACACATTTATTATTATAAGTGACCATGCAACATCTTGGTCACTTCCACACAACAGCAAACCAAGCAAGGCTTCCAAATTAATAATCTTTTTTTTTTTTTCCATTAGCGTCCATGGAAATCTGGTGCTTGATTCCAGAAATCATGGGAAAGTCGGTAGTAGGAGGGTTCTATGTAGTTCTGATAGGCCATCATTTGTTGCTTAGCTGCAAAGAATGGCAAAGACCGAGTCTGTAGTTGCAAAACACAAGACACGCTCTGAAGCAGCCAGGAAGGATGGACATTCACATACAACTCTGTGCATGCAACATTTTTCAAACACGCGACGTGAGCTGACACTAAGCTAGGCACTCACCGGAGACACCCAGCAACACAGCATGCCCTTCTTGCTCAAGGAGCTCGCGATTTCCAAGGCGGGCAGAAGCATGCACAGTTTATCCTGGTACTGCAGGGTAACCTGAGGGTTCATGTCTACAGCTGGTTTTGCAAAGCACAGAACAGGAAGCAATCAACTATACGTGAGGAGGTTAAAGAAAGTTTCACGGAGGAGAAGGCAGTTGGACTCCACTTTGCAGGAAGCCAAGGTTTACACCTGGAAAAATCTGAAGGAATGCGTTTCAGGCAGAAGAAGATGCATGAATGAAATCAGAGTGTGAAAATACAAGTCGTATCCAGCAACGTGCAGGGTCCAGCGTGGCTGGAGGGGAGCCTACTGGGGGAGGAGGTGACGGATGAGAGTGGAGAAATTGATTAAAGGAAGATCACATTCAATTTTGGGTGTGCCAATAACTTTTGGAATGTACCTGATAGAGCCGGAAAGTAACCAGACTTTTTCTACAGCCCAGGATTTGTGAGGGAAAGGGGTGCTTTAGGAATACGACTGGTTGTACGGAGCACAGACGAAAGGCAAGAGACTGAAGACACAGAGGCAGAGCCGCTTCCAGACTATAAGGAACAGGTGACCGGAGAAACAAAACAACTCCATAACAGAAGACCTCTCAGTGCGATGGATGATGGCACCATGACACGTAGGTCTGAAACTCTGGAATTTTAATTCCTACAATCTCTGTGGAGCTCCTAGTTCAGGAAGCAGTGGTCAACATTAGAGCAGCATGAATAACAAAAAATTCCAACGTGGAAAATAAAAAATAAGGTTCTCTGTTCATAGATGACACGCTCTCATCTGTAGAAAGCCCTAAAGATTCCACATATATACACCAAGAAAAGTTCAAGATAATAAACAAACTTAGCAACATGTGAAAATCAGTTCCAATTTTATACAGCAGCAATGCATAAATTCACAAAGAAAGTAAGAAAAAATTTCATTTACAAAAGCATCAACAGAAAAAAATACTTGGGAATAAAGGTAAGGAGGTGAGACTTACGAAACACTGAAAACCACAAAAATTGGTGGAAGACATTAAAGAAGACATAAATAAATGGAAAGATATCCTGTGTTCGTGGATTAGAAGACTTCATATTATTAAGATGAAAACAGTACCCAAAGTGAAAATACTACCCAAACTGATCTGTAGATTCAATGCAATCCCTATTAAAATCCCATGGCATTTTTTTGCAGGAATGGAATAACCCATCCTAAACTTCCCATGGAATGTCCACTGACCTCAATAGCCAAAACAATCTGAAAATGACGAGCTAAGCTGGAGGGCTCAGAATTTCCAATTTCAAACTTACTGAGAGCTACATTAATCAAAAGAGTATGACACTAGAAAAAGAACAGACAGATAAGCCAATGGAATGAATAGAAATTCCAGAAATAAACCCCTGTATATATGGTCAGTGAATTTTCAAAAAGGATGCCAAGACCATTTGATAGAGAAAGGATAGTCTATTTAACACATGGTTTTAGGAAAACTGGGTATCTCCATGTAAAAGAATGAAGCTGGACCCATATGTTACATCACATGCAAACATTAACCTAAAATAGGTCAAAGGACTAAAACTATGAAAGTCTTAAACTGAAAACACAGGAGAAAATCTTAATGACATTGGATTTGGCAATGATGTCTTGGATACGATACCAAAAGTACAGGCAACAAAAGAAAAGTGGATGAAAGAGAGTGGAAAGGCAACCCACAGTATGGAAGAAAATACTTACAAATCACGTATCTGGTCAGAGACTAACATCCAGAATATATAAAGAACGCCCACAACAACCAACAACAAAATGAACAACCCAGTTCAAGAATGGGCAAACGACTTGAACAGACACCCCTCCGAGGACATACAAATGGCCAATAAGCTGCTCACCATCTTAGTCACTAGGGGAACACAAATCAAAGTGACAATGAGATACTGGTTCACCCCCATCTGGGTGACCATTAACCAAAAAAGGGAGAGAGGGAGGGGTAAAAAGTGTTGGTGTGAATAGAGAAATCGGAACCTTCACGCGCTGTGGCCAGGAACGTAAAACGGTACAGTCACTGTGAAAAACAGTATGGAGGCTCCTCAGGAAAGTTAAACATGGAATTACCGTATGATGCAGAAATTCCACTCCGAGGTATATACCCCAAAAGAACCGACAGCAGAGGCTCAAACAGATACCTGTACACCCATGATCAGAGTGGCACTGTTCACAGTAGCCAACGAGCAGAAACGGCCAAGTGTCTATAAAGAGATGAATGGGTTACCAGAATGTGGTTTACATTACATTGCAGTGGAATCAGCGTTCCACTTACTCACCCATCAGAAAGAAGGAAGGTCTAGTATATGCTGCAACATGAATGAGCCTTGAAAACACGGCGCTAAGTGAGATAAACCAGACCCAAAGGGACATTCTATGATGTCACCTATAGGAGGTACCTCGGACAGTCAAATTCATAGAGACAGAAGGGAGAACAGTGGTTTCCAGGAGCTGTGGGGAGAGGAGGCTCAGGAATTATTGTTTAATGGTAATGGAATTTCTGTTACAGCCGATGAAAAAGATGGTTGCACAGCAACGTGACTATGCCTAATGTTACTGCACCGAACACTTAAAAATGCTTCCGATGGTAGATCTGAAGTTATACATATGCTATGAGAACTGGAGAACACCCAGCATGAAGAGCACTATGCTCGCCAGATGTGTTTCTACTGGGTAAAGAATACTGAGTTACCATGTAAGAACAAATGCTCCTTCTCAGCTCCTGGTGAGAACTGCCAGGAGAAACTGCAAGGCTGAAACTGCACAGACTGTCCCCTCATAGTAGAGGCGCTCAAGATGCTCAAAAAGAAAGCAAACTTACGTTGCAGTTGGACGAGCCGTCGAACGTGGGGCTGGAACCGTCGGGCCAGTCAGCAGGGTCCAAGGCGGCTGGCTGCCGGTGCTGGGCCTCGTACTCCTTGAGCTGCCATGAGAGGAAACGGAAGGTTGAAATGGAAGCACTGGCTGGCACCGTGTCCCGAGCAGTGGAGGGAACACCTCGGCACCTTCCTCACGCCAGTGTCGTGACAAAGTGCCAGCCACACGAGGTTCTCAGAATCAGAACAAGGACCCACCCCCTGCCCTGTGGGTTTTCATCTAAATGAAACCAACAGACACAGCTGACTCTTCGTATTCTATCATGTATTCCAGATAGAACCTCGATTTCCCCCTCCTACATCGGAACTCACCTTTCACAGTTCGACTATAGGTTCTAAAAAAACAACTGTCTCTGGTTTGGCCTCAGAATCACCCCTCTCTGCAGAAGGCACAGTGCGGTTGACTGTGAGCATTTGGGCAAAACAGAGACGGAAGCCTGAAACTAATTTTTAAAAGTCACTTGCTTTTCTTGTTCTAGATTGCTTCAAGTCTCCAGTTCAATGTCACCGTGTAATAAATACAGTGGGATTTACTTGGGACACTTGTGGATGAGAGGAAAAGAAGAAGGGGTCTCGGATACGTGCCGAGATGTTTAAAGGTGGCGTTTAGAAGCCAGGTTTCTACTTTTTTTGAAAAACACAGAGACAGGCGACATATGATAAGAAATTGGCAAATACAATGTAGTAGAATTAGATCAAGGATCCTTCTGAATGGCTAATGGTGTGTTTTTATAACACACATAAAAATTTAACTCTGCCACATAATACAATGAAGTTGTCACTGCATTAAAATTCTACCATCAAGCAGTTTTTCTACATGAATTTTAAGACCCTGATCAAGCTGTGTTCCATGAACAAAGCCACCAAAACACCAGAAACGATCTGACCCGACTGCCCAGGAGGAGGTAGGTCAGCACCGTCCTCAACCACTGGGGCCATGCGGGTGGATATGGCAAAGCCACCAAACTGACAATATCCTCCTCGCAACTTCCCAAAGCATTGCTTCTCCCAGGGAATTCTCTTCTGTGTACACACTGACAGGCGGCAGAGCAGGGAAGGCAGACAGCCCTGATTAATGGGTAAGGGCTTAGCTGCAGAACCAAGCGTCAGCTGAGAGCCCCTGGGCAAAGTACTATCCGCTCTGAGCCTCAATTCCTCCTCCATCAGGAAAATGGGGGTGACAGCACATCCATCCGCCTCATGAGATAAAACAACGAAGCTCTGAGCACACGGCACCTGTGCCAGGGACCCACTGTCACGGCTCTCCTGTGATCACGCTCTGGTTTCAGACAAGTGGGAGCTCCAAGGTCACAGACTCCAGGCATTTGCTCTTTTGGTGCTAGGGGCGCCAATCTCATTTTAATCTTTCCAGTGCCTTAGGGTATTAGTGTTCTGCTCTTTGTAGTACACTTAAGTTACATATTAGAATGCCCTCTCCTTCTAGATATACTCGTGTCTGCAATGCCACATTCTCACTGTATTATTGGAACAGCTGGCAGCTGAACAATGGGGTTGTCACTTGTTCTCTCCTGGTCTATGTCCCACTTTTTATCCTCAACCTTAGCCCCAACTCCTAGGAGCCACGAAATAAACTTCATCGTTAGAAACAAGACAAATTCCTAACCAGGCCATCATAAACAGAATTAATATTTTTCTTCTGCCATCTGTCCATTTCTATCATTTTGGAGGTCAAAAGTACCTACATTTCTTCAGAGGTAGATTCAGATCTGTGCTCTATCCAAATGTGCCACTTTTTAAAAATTATCCTAAATTTCAAAATGCTTCATGTTTCATAAGAGATCCTGTTACAAAACACAATCTCTAAAATGCTTTGTTTTTTTTTTTAATTTTCTTTCTTTTTGGGGGGAAGATTTTATTTATTTATTTTCAAAGAGAGGGGAAGGGAAGGAGAAGGAGAGGGAGAGAAACATCATTGTGTGGTTGCCTCTCACGTGGCCCCCACTGGGGACCTGGCCTGCAACCCAGGCATGTGGCCTGACTGGGAATTGAACCAGTGACCCTTTGGTTTGCAGTCCGAGCTCAATCCACTGAGCCACACCAGCCAGGTTTTTTCTTTTTTTTAATCCTCACCTGAGGACATCCTTTTTCATTGCTTTTAGAGAAAGGTGGGGGGGGGGGGGGAGAAACATCAGTGTGAGAGAGAAACATCAATTGGCTACCTCCTGTATGTGCCCCGACCAGGGATCAAACCTACAACCTTTGTATTTAGGGGACAATGCTCCAACCAACTGAGCCACCCCAGCCAGGGCTCTAAAATTTTTTTAAGTACATTTTATGGGGGGGAGACATGCACCTGGTTTCATTTATATAATTTTACTTTTATATTCCACTCTGCTCCTGAAGAAGTTTTGACTTAAAATAAAATTTCATGAAGGAAAGACAACTGATAATTTAAGAATTTATGTGTTTTAGAGCAAATTTACAGAGTTTTAATTTAACTCCAAAATTTTTAAAATAATGACATTTTATAGTGTGTATCTCTGTCTGAGGTGAAAATCCTCCCTCATATCTTAGTGTCCCTAACCTGACAGGTTTATTATGCTTGGAGTCTATGACATGATTCTTAGAGGGGATGGCCATCTTTAGTAGATTCATGCTTATTCTCCCTTAAAGACCTTTAGGGAGAGATATTCCAGAATGTTCCCATTTTTAAGAGCGCTTATTGTGAAGAACATTTACAGCACATCGCCTCTAAATCCCCTCCAGCTGCAATTTTAATGCATTTCCCTTCATTCTGTCCTCAGTTGAGATTAAAACAAAATAAAACACTCTTCAGTACATCCTGAAGATGTACTGTTTAATAATCCCTCATATATACTTGAGGAAAGTGATTAAACTCTTTGCTGCTGCTTCTCTGAGATAAATCCTTTCCAATTTCACCCCATGGGATCTATCTTTTAAAAAAAAAAAAAAAAACCCTCAGTTACTTTGCTGCTCTCCTATGGACTCTCTCCATGAGCCTCTCTAATTGGCCAAGTCACTGGGATTGATGCTCACTAGCTGCTACAAGGAAATAATTCAAAAACATATACAAAGTTCCAGTTCAGAATGCTGCAATCTGGTATACCAGATGCCCAGACTCCCTTTACGAAATTCCTTGCCTATACTCCCTGGTTCCTGTAGAGGTAGGCTCACACCTATCCCCCTTGGCTCTGGAGAACCACCCTTGGTGGGCAAGGAGCTGTCTCCCCAGAGATGCCCAGATGACTGCTCCCTCCTCCCCACCAGTGTGCAGCCTCCTGTTCCCTGGCAGGAGGGGTTCCACAGTGTAACTCACCTTCCAGGGCGCCCCACTCCCTAAGGGCTCAGGCTGAGCAGAGGCTTCCCCAGAAATCTCATCTCTGTCCTGCTTCTTTCTCTGCCTCTCCTGCTTCCCTCTCTCACTTAGAAGTTTCTCCCAAAAGCTCTCCTTCGCTAAATCATGTGCCTTATAACCCCCGACTCGGGCTCTGCTTCCAGGAACCTGACGTAAGACACTGGCGTGAAGAAAAGTTCACCATGTCAAAACATCAGCCAAATCAGTGACAAACGTCACGTACTTTTTACAAATATATTATCTTAAGGACTTAAGTGTATATATAAATAAATATAGATGTGACCGTGTGGAACCAGATACACATTCCTCCGATGGATAAATACAGACGTATTTCTCTACAACACAGCTCCATCTTTGCTGGTACTGCCACACCAAAACAACAGGGTGCTCTTTCAGCCAAAGCTTTAAAGGTGAGTTTATTCCCTACTCCCCCATCCTCACTCACACGCTACAAATATTACCCAGATAAAGTGGCTTCCAAACCTTCCACAACTAGTCCAAGGTTTGAACACCCTAAACTCACTTGCCAAGAGCTACATGTGCTCTTAAGATCAGCACCTGGAAATGGTGTTCTCTAGACACACCAGTTACCTGGAGCCCCTAAACATTATGTTTTTTAACTCACGAGCTCTACGGAATTCCTTAAAGCACATGTATTAAGTATCCATCATCCAACTATTAGAGACTGTTTGAAATGCCACTAGATTTGATGGAACTATTCAGTTCTTTGGTTAATAAAATTTTAGAAATCCTAAGTTAAGCTGCTTTTTAAATTACACACTGAAGAAAAAAACCCTACTGTGTGAGATGTTCCCTAAACTTCGTTCTCTTAAAATGCTTATGCAACTTAAGAGTATCTCCCACGTTAGCTCTCCGCAGTCTTTTCCATTCTGGTCTGGGTTCTTTTTGATAACTCGGTCTTCAGGGGCCTGCATCATGGCTGCACAGTTCACAGCGCGAAAACATCTGGCAATGAGACCAGAGTCACGTAAGCGAAGCATGGCAGACCCACTGGAACATGGCCGAAGTTTTCCCCAAAGCCAGGATGTGCTGGGGGCTACGCTCAGCTCCATATGGCACCCAGACAAACTTCTCTCCTGACGCTGGCTCATTCCCTCAGAATTGAAGTCTGCATGTCTCTGACCGTGGGACCAACACACCCCGACGTGCCGGAGGAAGGTCCCCATCACAGTCATTATGGGAGGTCTGAGTCTCACTGTTTGTTCTGTCCAGCAATCGCGTCATCCTAGACCCTTCAGCTGCTCCTGAGTCCTGGGAAGTCTGTCCGTCCTGCAGACTATTTTCTGCTCTAACATCTTTCTTGAAATGACTGGTCTCTGGCCCACGAGAAGCCCATCCAGGCAGCAGCGGCTGGGGATGCACCTGCGCAGCTGAGCGGGCCAGCCAGCTTCCCCTCCTGCATCTGTCCGAGGACACCCACTGTTGTAGGCGGAATCGAGCAGAGCTGGGAGAATGCCATCGCCTTTTTCTCCTGTGTGTCTGGGTTGTTGTATAGAAAATGTTCCTGATCTCCTGATGAGCTCCTTGCTGAAACCCGGCCAGGCTGCATGGCTAAGACCTCCACCCAGATGTGCACAGGGAGCGGACTTCTGACTTCCTTTCCATCTAAACAACGGCTGCCTGTTAAGATTATGAGCTCAGAAAGAGCTTTAAGCAATTTTTTCCTCCTCAACTTTCCAAGTATTCTTCATTTTTTTCAACTATAAAACCATGCTACCTCATGCAGACGACGTTAAGGCTATTTGAACATTTTCTTCTGCTCCAAGAAGACGGGATTTGGCACATCGCCTGCACCCCTCTTCCCAAACACAGGTGTCGTCGGACAACCTGCGACATCTTCTGCATTCAGATCTTCATTTTCATGACGAAAACAGAAATGCACCTGGTTGCTCCCCAGAAGGTGGCGTGTCTGTCATGGTCAAACTATTACAGATTCGTATTTCTCATATGCCTTTTCTAGGAACTCAAATGGACTCTTCCCAAATGGGACCACACATTCAGGAAATAGACCTGGAGAGAAAATGTGTGGTGGACGTTTCGCCCCAGCTGGTGGCCAGGCTGAGTGGCCGGAGGTGTGGTGGAGCGGGTCGGGCCAGGCTGAGGACAAAGGGGACAGGCATGGTGATCAGCCACGTGGACAGGAGGTTGTACCTGCCACTTGCTGCATGTCTGCCCCAGAGACACTGGAGGCCGAGACACCTCTGCTCCTGTGAACCGACAGAGCAGGAGAAGCCGGCAGGTGGCCATCTGGAGGTGGCCCCGGCCCTCAGGCCTCCTACTCAACCCAGTCCCACCTTCCACGTCCCACCACATTTGTTTGTCCCTCACGTTTGTTTGTTCCTGAGTTTTCACTTCGTCTCAGCAACGAACTAAACTTCTTCTTGAGTTTAGCGTCAGGTGTGCTCAACGACATGAAGGGAGCCTGTCACTGTTCTAAGGTGACAAACCTCCGAGATTCTACTTGGTGACCAAGTCACAACTCCTTCCATGGCTCCTCAGGGACCTGAACGTTTTCATTAGTTTCTAAACCCGCCTGATTTGTGACCTGTGCACACAGCAACCAACCAACCGTCCAAGTGAAATCCAAGAATCGTCAGTTTGCTGGGCGACAACCAAGGAGGAGACCCCTGCGTGTCCGCCGTCTCACTGCCCTGCTGCCAACCCAGCATCCCGAGGTGACCGGGCTTCTTCCAGCGTCTCATTTAACTCAGAGCAAAAACGTGGCCCAGCAAACTGCAACTGCTATCTACTGAGAAGTAAAAGTAAGAAAAATTTGGTTTTCTGAAAGCAAAATTTTAAGGTATGTCTAAGACTTTCAGATTGTTCAAAATTGAATTTGTGATGGTATCTTGTAGAGAATTGATGTTTACAATGGTCATAATGTATTTAGTTTTTCTTTAGGCTTCACTTAATTTTTACCATTGATTACATTCTTATAATCTCTTTACAAGGCTTGTGCAGTGGGCAATGGCATTCAGATTCCCTTTCCTTGTTAAAGTGGTCTACCGCCCCGTATATTTGCCATTCATTCATTCACGTATTCACTGAATATGGAACTTTACCTCACACCGTGGACGGTTTCTGCTATGCACACAGAATGGAATCACAATTTTATAGGATAAGATAGGTACCTGATGACACCAAAGTATCATCAAAATACTACTCCAAACAATAAATCTCTATACTCTTTGATGCACCTGTCTCAGTCTGCTCACACTGCTCTAAGTACCGCAGACAGGGGGGCTTACACATGACAGAAACTTCTCGGTCGTTGAGGCTGAGAAGTCCCAGACCAAAGTGCGGGCAGATCTCGTGCCTGGCGAGAACCCGCCTCCCGGTTCACAGACAGCTGTCTTCTCTGGCTGTGTGTGTTCACATGGGCGGGGGGGAGAGCCGTATCCTGGGGTCTCTTCTATAACGTCCTTCATCCCATTCACCAGGGCTCCACTCTCAAGACCTAGTCACCTCTCAGAGGCCCCACCCCCAGAACTACCACACTGGGCACGAGGATCTAACACAGGGATTCGGTGGGGGGCCGACACAGACGCTCAGTTTCCAGCGGGCCCCAAACTTTTCTCGGTGTGAGGGGGTCGCGCCTGCACACGTGTGATGTGGATCTCAGCCCTCTTACCCGAGCCAGTGCCTCCTCGATGGTGATCATCTTCTCCTTGACCATCATCATCAGCTGAATCCGCTCCTCATCGCTCATGGTTATCTCGCTTGCCACGTAGCCCACGTCTTCTCCTAGAGAGAGAAAGAAACACCAGGGATGAAAACGAGACAGGTAGACCAGATGCCAGTCTCGACGAGGTCATCATCATCCAGGACTGGGAGAATGAGGGTGCTGTCTCATGTGCCTTTTCCAGGGACTCAAATGTTGTGTCCCGTTGTTGGAGCAATAGGACCACCAGGGGCGGCTTTGTAGGGAGCCAAGCAGCCCACCTAGCTGGGCACGGGCACCACGGACATGTATGGACCAGAGCCTTTGTGATGAAGGGTCTAGCGGAGGAGTCTTGGAGGAGAGCCCACAGGGAGTAAGAGGCGGGCAGAGAGCTAATTTAAAGACCCAGCGAGAGCGGACACACACTCCGGGCTCCCCTGGCTGAGGCTTCCCTATGTCCTCCCATTTGGGGAATGCACGAGGAGAAAATAGTTTGGGGAGAAGTGGGAGGCAACCTCCTGCCGTGGCGGAGAAAGGTCCGAGTCAGCTGCGCTGCAGCCTGAGAAACCGCAGATGCCTGCTAACCTCTCTGACTACTGCTCCTCAGAGGGCTGGTGCAGACAAATAACATCACAGATGGGAAGCGCTCCGGGTCACTGGTTGGGAAGTACCATATACGTAGGCACACATCCGAAAGTTCCGTCGGCATCAATGTTCCCAAACCGTGAGGGGGACTCCACTCCCAGCCCGAAACTGAGGGCAGCCAGAGCCGCAGGGGAAAACAGAAGCCCCGTCAGGTTTCCTCGAAAGTGTCTTCCTACAAAGCGGACAGGCTGCCAGCGCCTCCGACGCCCATGAGCCACGCTGGCTGCGTGCTGCCTGTCAGCCTGGGGGGCAAGACCTGCCAGTGCAGGTGGGCTCTGCTCCGCGCTCGGGGAACGAGCCCTCAGTCCAGGCCCTCACCCTTCTCGTCTGCCCCGTCTTTCCCACACGCCCCTCACCTGCATGGGTGTCATCAGGATGCTGGGCTACGGCCTAACGTGCCCTTGGTGTCAAGGGACAGAGGCAGGGAGGCTGGCCGCACACCTGTCGGAGCCCTTCCATCAGCATCTGCCCGGGAATGTATGTTCCCCTGTGTCTCCCTGTCACACTTCCATTCCACATCAATCGGTGCAGACACACTGCTCCAGGCCCCCTTGCCCCTCGTCCCCTTGCACGGGAAGAACAACAGAGTGGGCTGGGAGAGGGGAGCCCGCCCGCCGGTTTGATTCATGCTGCTCTCTGTGTCGCCTCCAGTGGTGGTGGTGGTTGGGCGGGGGGGCGGGTGACAGAAAGTTGGTCAGGTTTAAAAATAAATCCACGTGATCTAGTCAACTTCCGGGTCTCTCCTGTATTCCTTCCTTCCCTTTCTCTCTCTCTCTCTCTTCCTCCTTTTCTTTCTTTCTAAAGAAGGCTGTGTTAGAATCCAAGGTTAACTTTGAATCACAAGTGATTCTGAGCATGTACCAGAGGAAAATCTCAGCGCGTTTAAGAATAACTCTGTTTTGGCAGGACAAATTTAAAAAAATAAATAAAGACCCCACCGCAGGTCACCAAAGAAGCCGAGCACACTGCTGGCAGGCACACGGCCCGTGTCCACTCTTCTCGTTGCCCCGTGTATGAGAAAGCGGAGAAGCCTTCTGAAGAGGGCAGGCCACTAAGCTTTTGTAAAAGAAGATCCAGTAATGTCACTGGTGAGCAACTAGGATGCTCCTGTCCTGACGACCTCCACCAGCAGGACTGGAGCCTGGAAGTGGCTTTGTTTCCACTCCCCTCTGAACGCCTGGGAGGCGGCAATTATGTAACCCGCCTCAGGGGGATGACACATTTACTTGCTGTATCAACAACAACAAAGGCCCTGGCCGGGAGGAGGGCGGGGGAGGAGGGGAGAGCAGGGCTCCCCCCACAAGGCAGCTCTGGGCAAATTCCCATGATGTCAGGCCAGGAGATAGAGTTTTCCAGGGGCAACAACCCACCAACTCTCCCTTCATCCCTTCCGCAGACAAGCATCAAAAGTTCAGAAGACTGCAAAGGCCCCCAGGGCGGGGCGGCGGGGAGGGTCCCAAACTAACAGACCCTAGAGTGTTTAGGGTCCATCAGGACGAGCAAAGATGTGCCTGAGGTTGCTGTGACGCAGGAAACAAAAACCCGGTCTTTGGCGCCAGACCTACGCTCAGTACAGCCTGCCGGCTCTCCCCGTCCCGTTTTCTTAGATTTAAAAAAAATAAAACATCCCCACTGGGATGAAGTTTTAAGCAATGATAGGAATGTCAGAAAGCTGAACATTGTACGGGCACGCACGATGAGTTATTCTAACTCGCAGCCACCATTCAGATCAGAGACACAGGCTTCTTCCCGTTTGCCGGCTACAAGGGCCCACTGTCCGCCAGCTGTTTCGGTGGTACCTTTTGAAGTCTGCCTCATTATTCCTTTCTGGTTCTTCCGGAAGTTCTGCCAGAAATACTTATTTTTCTTCTTCCAATCTCCTTTTCCTTTAAAAAAAAAATAAAAAAGACACAAGCAGTAAGTCCATTAATAACAAAAGTCGCCCCTTCCTTATAACTCAAAGCTTGCAAGAGTACTTTGATTTCACAAAGACAGTTCTTCCACTTTCAGTTTGTGCAGGACTTGAAAATGCCTATAAAGTTGTTTAAAAGAAATGCAAATTTCCCGGTAGCAGGAAATGCTGCAGCAGGGATAAATTGAGCAATAAAGGAAGCATCAAAAAAGGCAGGCAAAACATGCATTCCTGGATTCTCTTTGATGTCTGTTTAACTCTCATCCAATCTACTGACTCTTGGGGTGTATTCCCCCACCCCCTTTGGTCTCAGCCACAATTATTTCAATGAAACCACAAGTAAAATACTTGCAGAAGTTGACTTTGTTTTGTCGTTATTCCTGCTGTTGATCTACCCTCGGTTCACTTCCGTCACCACAGAGCGAGGGACGAGAATGGCGGGTGCACCCCGGGCACACTGGCCTGGGGCGGGCTGCCGGGCCTGTGGGGTGCCCCACGCCATTTCTCTAAGGTGTGCAGCTTGCACGCATCCAGCCAGCAACGACACGGGTGGGGCAGGATCCTCAGCTCTGTGGCATCAGGCCACTGGGGACCTTCCTACAGCTCACCCAGGGCACAAGGACAAGGAAAGCGGACAGCCCTCCTGCTGTGACAGCTCCCACCCCTTCTCCTCCTCCCCCCCAGACAGATACGGATGGGTGGCTTTTAAGTGAAAGCAAACTGTCACAGCTAGACATTTTTAGCATATGGCAGGGTTTTCTGGTCATCGATATGTAATAACTTTCAAAAACCAATGGGAAACGAGGCGAGTCACACAGAAGGCTAGAGGGACCTTTTGTTCTTCAAGAACAAAATGCAGCGGCAGAGCGACCCGTGGGGACGTGGTACGCTCACGGCAGCTTCGCCGCCACGTGGTGTCTGGTGGCCTCACAGCCCTGGAGAGGGCCCAGCGGAGTGGCACGCTGTTGGTTTCCACAGTCTAGACTGGTGGTGCCAGGCAACGCTGCAGAAAACACACATGTGGGGACTGGAAAGGGCGCCATTTGTCAAAACAGGATGCGCTCATCTGAGTTCCGAACCCTCCGGAGCTGCGGGAATGGAGCCTGAGACGCCAATGTGCTCAGGATGTCCAGGGCACGCCTGACAGCGCTGACTGCCTTTGGGTTAGAGACCACAGCAGACGCGGCCCGTGAAAGGTTAAAGCCGAGGTAGGATATCACTCATTCAACCTTCCTCCAGGGCAATCTGCAATATAACGCATTTCTCTGACTGTAAATTACACTCCCCCTTCTCCCATTTCATTGCTTCTGAAGTGAAGATACAGCTTAAAAAAATAAATGGCACCAGCTAGCATTTATGTAGCAGTTACAGTATCCAGGGCACTTTGCTACCCAACAACGTATTTCATTTAATACTGACAATGAACAGATATTATTGTTCCCATTTGGTGGATGAGAAAACTGGGGCTCAGAGAGGCAAGGACTGTGCCCAGGGTCCTAACTACTAAGTAGGCAGAGTCATGAATCAAATGCAAGTCAAAGCCAGATCTGAGCACTCATGCTAGGCTCCTAGTCACGATTACTTTGCCAGGTGCCCTCCGAACCAAACAGAAAAGATGTTACTAAATCAAGAGGGGACTTTATAATCAAGGAAATACAAAATTTGTAACACCTTCATTGTGCATAATCTTTGATTCAAAAGTTCCAAATCGAAGGATTTATCCCTGATTAAGAACATGATCAGGGATAGGCTCAAGGATTTGTATGGGAACATCTTTCTCTGTGGCAGCGAAAAGAACAGGAAACTAAATGTTCAGCAAAGCAGCACTGGTTGCTTAAACTACGGCACATCCACTATGGCAAATTCTCATCCAGACGTGACGAGTGTACTGGACGCAATGCTCAACCATGTGGGAAAATGTTCAAGACGCATTCCACTGAAAAAAATGATACAATCATATGTAGAATATAATCCCAACTATTTCTTTTACCCATACAAACAAGTACAGTAAGCACGAGGAGGAAACTGTACATCAATATCTTAATGTTGTTTATTTCAAGGTAGAAGGCTTCTTTGTGGTTTTTGTCCTTTCCCATGTTTATGGGTTCTATGAAAGTATTAAAGGAAAATGATTGACTTCAAATCCATAAACCAAGAAAAGAGGTACTGACCTACGGAGCTGTCTTCTGAGTTTGACTTCCGAAGAGAGTTCCTAGAAAAGCAAAACGAGTCTGGTTAGCGGGAGCCTCGCCTCCGCGGGAGAACCCACGATGCCCCCCCTCAGGAGGCTGAGGCCGCACCAGCACTCCCCAGCAGAGAGCCAGGCACGTTTCCACAGGGTATTTATTTTCCAGTGGCCTTTTCCAGCCATCGCCGGCCTTCCTAGAAGCACAGGCACGCACCATCCACCAACGTTTGTTAAAGACGCACCCCAGGGTGAGACCTATATTACATGAAGGGAACGGACCCCACTAGGTGATCACCGAAGTATCTCCCATCTCTGTGAACTATTAACCACCCATGAAGTTACCACCCTCAGGAGGTCTCTTGTGTACGTGGGAAAAGGAGGCACAGCATAGTGGAAGAACAGACCTAAGCACCTCCAATGCCCTTCAGGCCAGGAGGTGAGTAAGGTGGGCGGTCAGCGGCAGGAGAAACCATCGGGGAAGCGGGGGACCCACCCGGCAGCGGGCGTCTGGGGGCCCCACACAGACAGGGCAGCCCGTGTGCAGGCCGTCCGGTCGGGGGGTGCCCACTGGCAGGTGCACTGCGCCTGCGGCCAGATCTCCCCGCGTTCAAAGAGAAGCCAGGCACCTGCATTTTTTACAACGAGCGCTCCACACTCTTTAGTGATGGCGAATAAGTCACTGTTTCTGAAACGTGCCCAAGTCAATCAAGACATGTCTGAGCCTCGGACTGAGGCCGGGCCCTGCCCCAGCCTGGCAGCCGGTTTGACTGCTGATACACACAGATGAACCCAAGTGACCTGAAGCATGAACACAGCCCTAAACCAGGTTATTAAAACATTTCTCCAGCAGAGACTTATGATTTTTTTTCATTATTTACATCTACTTTCCTCAAGGTATCATACATTTTGAAGAATTTATCCCCGGGGCTTCACTTTGGATTTGTTCGTTTTTGTAAGAGGTGCTTCCACGAGACACCCCTTGCATTTCCCTAGGATGCCAGCAGATGGCACTGTAGATTCTTTATTCATCTGGTTCCGGATTTTTATTTCTAAAATTTCACAAGTTCACAGTCTAGAGACTGGCCAAAGAATGGCAATGTTGGGTAGCCTCATGCTTTGAGGCTACCCAACTCATCAATTTGCAAAGGGGGAAAACGACGCCGCGTGAAGTTTGATTTGGACGCAGTGAACTGTCCCCGCAAACAGAAGCTGGCAGAGCAGTGAAGCGAAAGTGCCACCTCCTTTCTCCTCAAGACTGATGATAGAATTCATCCAGCAGGAGCAAAACTCAACAGTGTAACCAAATTCCGAATCCGGATGGCAGCAGGTGGAAGGGGCCATTTACTGATCTCCTGGTGGAAGAAATGAATGCTCAGAAGTCAGTTCCAAAGGCTCCCTAGGAACAAACACGTCCCTCCGGCCAGGCGCCGGGGCCTGCAAACGGCAGCTTGGGAAGCAGCTGCCAGGCCCTTTCTGCGTGTCAGGTTCACTGCCAACTGGGGTAAGAAAGATGGGAACGTCAGCACGGACTTCGGTGGCCTGGAAGCGGTAACGGCATTCTGCTGCACTTTGAGAAGTGATTTGTGCATTTAAAAATCATCGATTCCGAGTGCAAGTCTCTGGACTCAATCTCAGCACCTTTTCATCAACAGCCGCTAGGGAGACCCCCCAACTGCACACATGTTAACATTCTCCCTCAAGGTCCCTGAACTATTTCAGCTCTCAACGAAGCCCTTGAGAAAATTCATAAGGAATTAATAAATTAGATTTAAAAAATTAAGACAGCATCCCTAGAACTTTGGTCCTACCTCAGTGTTTAACAAATTCTATGTTAAATTGCTTCCTTCCTTTGTTCTCTCTCTCTCTCTCTCTCTCTCTCTCTCTCTCTCTCTCTCTCTCTCTCCCCCTCCCTCCCTCCCTCCCTCCCTCCCTCCCTTGAATAAGTATCTATTCAGCCCCCATTCAAGTCTGGCACCCACTCAGGCACTGAGCACAGTGATACAGGAGACTGGTAAGATCTCTGTGCTCTCGGAGCTGGGCGGGCGTGGGGGGGGAGAAGTAGGGTGGGGCGTACAGGTTAAGAGGTGGGGGGAATTTCAGATGGAGGGATGAGGGATGGAGAAGGTCTCTCTGAAGCGGGGACAGCTGAGCAGAGATCTTAATAATGTGTTGACATGACACGCAGTCCCCCAAAGGAGGGGACTGGGTCAGGAAGGGCAGAGGAGGCGAGTAGTCTGGCCGTGTTAAGTCCGAGGTGCTTATGAGCATCTCTGTGGGGATATGGGTGAGGCGGGATATGCCAGACTAGAGTGCCCGGGAGTTGTTGAGGGCCGGAGGTAGGAATTTGGAGAGAAGCCACGTGAAGGCTGAGCTCGGGGGCAATCCAACTGTTTCTTAGGAGTTAGGATAAGACGAAGCAGGCGGTGGGACTGAGGGGCAGTGGTCAGTGGAGAGAATGAAGAGCAGGAGAGAGTACCTTTTACCTTTTCCAACTAGGGTGATATTAAAATCAATTTTACACAAATATCATCACTGGCTCCAATGACACATATGGGATAAATTCTAGGTTGAGTCTATGGCTTCACAGAGGAGAGAGCCTCCGAGACCACAGAGGAAAAACTAATAACCCACATCAAAATGGAATTCTTTGCATTTGCATAGAACTCTACCTCTTAAAGGAAAGGCTCTTGTTGAACCTCCCGTCACAGAGCAGGATGATGGCAGAGACCCGGGAGGGACGACCCACCTGAGGACACAGACAGAGCTGGACAGGATGCAACGGGGTGCAGAGGCCCTGCCCCCGTCCCGTTTCCTGTTTACAAAACAGACATTCACATGGCGCGCTCTGGCCCTGTTCTTGGGAACGTTATTGAAATGATACTCAGCAGGACTTGGGAAGACAGAGCATGTTTTCCACACCAAATTCCAACATGGCCCGTGGGCTTATTAACACCGAGTGTTTCAACAGTGCCTCCAGGATTCTGTTGTGTTGCAACTGCAGGATCCTCTGGTGTGCTTGTGGGAGGAGAGGGGGCCAAACTCCTATCTGGCTCAAACTCATTTTTCTTCTTATGTCTGTTTATATGCAAATAGTCGGAGATAGCTCCAGGCAAAGACAACTCTATCTCACTGTTCCACACTTAAGTCTGGCTCACCAGGAAAGCAGAATGAATGTCCGAGCACAAAGGAATTCCTAAAATAGACTTCATGTTTTTGTTTTGATGGACTGTCCAGAAACTTCATTATAAAAAAAAAAAAAGGAAAGAAAAAGAAAAAAAAACACAAAGAAAAACCATTATAATCCAATGTCTAAGAAAGGAACATATGTTATGTGTTACTGGAAAATCTGTCTTTGAGAGATTTTTAAGGTTCTTTATCTTGAGTCTCCGGAAATACACTTCTCCATTAGTTTCTTTCCTGCTGAATTTTGAGTCGGGGCGTTTGCTGTGTCTGGGTCTTTTCCTGCATCTTCCCGGGCCTGCCAACGCAGTCCCCAAAGCCAGCAGCGTCCGCCTGAGGACCCAGGAAAAGGACCGAGACATCTGTGCCACTGCACTGTGCGCGCCCAGAGGGCCGTGGAGGAAGGTAAACGGGTCGAGGGGCCTTTAGTGAGTTGCTACTCTCTTTCTCCATGACAGATGTAACTAAGTACTCATGTTCCTAGTCTGCACATTTAGTGACAAATAACTTTACGTAAAATAGGTAATTCCTTAATTGGATAAGTCTGATTACCCTTTGGGGATCAAAGATATTTTTCATCCTAGGGGCATCTCTCTTCTGTTTCATAGAAATATATTTTAAACAAATCCCTGTTCACGCTACTGTACTGTCTGCAAAAATCCAAGGGCCAGCCCCTTTCTCAGCCACAGGGCCAGGACTCAGGCGAGGCAAGGGGCACGGAGCCTCCCCCATGTGGGAGGCACCCGCTCTCGGGGAGGGTGGGCACAAGAGGCGAGCGCCACCTTAAAACCTGCGCCCCATGCTCCTCTCTCGCTTTCCCTTTGGGGAAAGCTGGTCCTTCCCAGCCAATAGCTGCTGGATTTCACATACAAGACAGAATTCAGCTTTCCAAAGTCATTGGCTCGGATGGAAAGTAATTCTGTTGCCAAAATCGGGCATACTGTTAGAACTCCCTGGATATTTCGTATAAATGACAACGCTGGTGACATTTTCTCACTCTGGTGAAAATAACCCCATAGAGGCTATTTCTTTCCATGCACAGTCTGTTCCCAGGCTGTACTTTCTGGCCTTTTTTTTTTTTTTTTTTTAACAAAGTCACCTTTATAAGTGAACAGGGCAGGTAGGCGTCTGATGTACCCAACCCAAGGCACAGGGGAGGCACTCACACACTCAGAGGTCACGCACACCTGGGACAGCCCTGCCACAAACCTCAGCCATGCTTTCTTTTCCTGTGATGTGATGCCGATAAAAGCAGTGCCTCCCTTCAGGGACTATTAGGAGAACTGCATGAGACAATGCACCGGAGGGGCTCAGCCCAGCGCCTGGCACTTGGAAGTTCCCCATAAACGTGCCCTCTCGTAACTCTTCTCCGGAGCGTGCCCACGACATGGCTCCTACACTGCAACAGTTCCCAAATCACCGAGGTTCCTCTTTTTTTAAAAAAAATATTTACTTCCCTCAAATAGTTTGGGTGGGTATAATAATTTCTTTCTCTTCTCCATCACGCTTTATACAAATAATTTGTTTTTCTTAGAACTGAAAAGAAAACCCACGCCAACGACTGGACATGATGTCAACGCAGAGTCGCACGGGCCACGGACCGGTATCCAGACGTGAATAACCTTATCTCGACCGTTTTCCCAGGGCGCGCCATGCGGGAAGCTGCCCGGGACAGTGGCTCCCGATGTGGGTTCTGGAATGCAACCGCCAGGGCTCAGAAGTCCGGCTCTACCACTCACTCACCAGTAACCTTTGGCACAAGTGACTGAGTCCCGTGAACCCTGGTTTCCTACTACGCAACATGGAGACAATAATATTACTGATGACGTAGGTTTTCTAGACGT